TTCCTCAGCTAGCTTTGCTGGCTGAGGAATTCTGGGAGTTGAAGTCCACAAGTCTTAAAGTTGCCAAGGTTGGAGACCCCGGGATTACAACATCCTGAACTGCCTGTAGTTTGGACGACTGACACAAACAAGGTTTTCCCTCAGTAAAACATTAGTCTTACTTCCGCTTTTCTCCCCGGAGGCGGGGAAAAAGGGTGTGTGTGTGTGTGTGTGTGTGTGTACCCTGCTGTTGATGACGCCTTCCTCCCTGGAGTCTACCATTTGTATTGGAAGAGCGAAGCTTCTCTACCGAGGACCATCGCTCTACACTTTCCTCTCTCTCTGGTTTGCTCCACTTCCTGTTTGTCCCGCAGAAAGAGCTGCCGGGACCGGAAGCTGGAAAAATCGAGTAAGAACTGTTGGAGATGGGCTTGTTTGGGAAGACGCCAGAAAAGCCGCCCAAAGAACTGGTAATGGGTCGCGGGAGAGAAGTTCAGGGGACCAAAGGTGGGACTGGATGGGCCGAAAGTAGAGGCTGGAGGGCAGGCAGCCGGACCTGGCGAAGGAATGTGTCTAGTTGGGATTGCCGCTGCCGGGGGCAAAACGTCGCCTGTTTTAATTCACCTCTCTATTAAAGAGCAGCGGAGTCATTTCCCCACATTCCCCGTGTGGGTCTTAGTGAAGTTGGACAGGAAGGGGCGACTGCCCAGGTACATCCTCCCACTCAGCGTAGTTCTTGTACATTTATGGAAAGGTAATGTGGAAGCAGGATCGCTTGCATTCTTCACTGAAAAGAAAACTTCTCGTCTCTTTATGCTTCATCGCGTCAAGGACATAGGATACGTTTCATATCCTCTGTTTGGTGAGGGGCCAGACAAACGATTGTGTGCAAACCAAGCAATTGGCTAGGCTCGTGCAACACTGTGCGCTTTAATATGGGTATTTTTGGTGTATTGAGAGGTTCATGGAATTCTGATTTGGTGTCAAAATTTGTAAAGCAAAGCCCAAGCATGTATTCTTCCTACCATGTATGCTTGAAGGATATGCCTAAACTATAATTCTTCTGATTTGATAAGCAGATGCAAGTGTGTAAGCTACACTGAGAGAGAACTCCATTAAAAAATGGCATTATTATTTATATGATTATGCCTCAAAGAACAGCCTTTCAGTATTTGTGACCTCAGAGTCGAAAATTGGTCCCTCAGAGAATCTTGTTGAATTTCATCATAGTAGCCTCACAGAACTTTATTGCTGCTTTCAATAAAGATATATATATGTATCTCCAGACATTTAGCTTATAATTCCCCTTATTCCTCAAATGATTGTAATAAAAACATGGGGAAGGACCAGACCTGAGCGGAAAAAGTTCCCAAAATTAATTTTATTCATTTTGAGCTCAATCTCTTAAACTTATTTCTAATATTTATATCTTCAGGTCAATGAGTGGTCACAGAAAATACGGAAAGAAATGAGGGTGATTGATAGACAAATTAGAGGTCTGTATTCCCACACTTTTTCTCTGAATGAAAGTGACATATTAACCTTTTTTCTAATTTGGTTAGTGTTATACAATTATTGCTCACATATCTGCCTAAGTAATTAACTTTGGTTTTCTGTTGTGAGTTCAGCTTCTATATGTTTTATCTAGAGTAGTTAGATCATGGCTATCTTGAACTTCTGGAAAAAGATGGAATATATCTCATAGCAAGCCAAAAAACATTGCTATTAAATCCCACTTCATATTCTTAGAAAGATTAAAGAGCATTTTTGATGAAGTCAAAGTATATAAAAAAGGATGTTCAGTGTTAACGGTAAATCTTGTTGCTGGAGTACACCTTAGTGACAAGAAAATATCACTTGTTTTTCCCATGTTAATATGATGTATTCCTCTTTAAAATCCTGAAATAAACACTTTTAAACCCTGTTTATTTTTTTCTTGAATTTAGATATTCAGAGAGAAGAAGAAAAGGTGAAAAGATCAATTAAAGATGCTGCAAAAAAGGGGCAAAAAGATGTGTGTATTGTCCTGGCCAAGGAAATGATCCGTTCACGCAAGGCTGTGAGTAAACTGTATGCTTCCAGGGCCCACATGAATTCAGTCCTGATGGGGATGAAGAACCAGCTAGGTAAGGTTATATTGGGAGTCAATAACCAGGCCCTTGCATGTAGATATTATTAGAATTATTAATAAAATACATTAATTAAAATTAATAAGCAACTTAATATACCAACTCAAAACACCAGTAATAGAGTTTTGAATAAAAAATAATCCTTCGAAACTATATATACATGTGCTGTCCTGCATCAAAGTTGCCTTATTGGAGAGATGGTTAGCATATAAATTTAATAAATAAATTTTGAGATCGCATTTGGGCTACCCTGTTTTCACATTATTAACTGGATTTTTGTAAAAGGGACACACACATTTAGAGGTACTAATCAATTTCAAGTTATCTTGCTGGAATGCAGTAGTGTGATCTGAGTATTAGCTCTGCGTCTTAGCAATCATAACTGAGAAAAGTGGGATTGCAGATGTTGAATGAAATGATCATGCAGTGACCACTTACTGCTGTTTTGCTCAACAACTGAAATTCTATTTTGGTGATAAGTCAAGGACTAATGTAGATTGTTGCTGTTCAATTAAGAAAGTCTTAATAATGATCAATGTGGTCGTTTGTGAGCTATCAAGGATTTGGTATCATTTCTAGTTTGACCACAACCTAAAAGATCCCAAATAACTTGGAGAAGTTTCTTTGAGTGAAATTAAAGAGAATGTGGTGGTAAAGGAAAAAAGAGAGATTTTCTTATCTCCATTGCTACTGTAAAGCAGGCTCAGTAATGAACTTGTTGTACTGGTATTCAATTAGATTTGAGATTATTTTCTTCTGATAAAGGAGAATATTTGAGCTTCTTGGTGTTCTCTGAGCTTGGTTGCCTGTATGCAGACATTTTGTTACCTGTTTGGTTAATGAAACATCTGCATAAAAACGGCCAAGCTCAGAGACCACCAGGGACCCATGATTTTCTTCCACCTGCATTCTTGTCTTGCAATGTGCTTAGTTGAAATGTGTACCAGAGATTTCAATACAATCCACAGGTGGAAAAAAGAAAAAGTTCAGAAGCAGCCCAATTAACATCCTCAGGCAAGTTGATGTCAAAAATAGATTCAATTGGGGTCTGAAATGTATTTCGTGTCAAAAAAGATAATTCTGGATTGAAAAATACTGTGTTTCCCCCAAAATACAACCTATCTCAAAAATAATCCCTAGCCTGTTTTTTGGGGGGTGTAATATAAACCCTACCCCCAAAAATAAGCCCCATTGAAGGGGACATGGCCAGAACAGGAGGCAGCCCTTCCCTTCCCGGTCACCTCATTAAAGCTTGGCCCCTTAATCATGGCCCATGGATTAGCTGAACCAGCAAGGGCCGGGAGCTGTCTCTCATTCTATCTCTCTGCAGAGGCCTCTCAGTGCAATGATCTGCCACAGCTTCTGAACAAACCTCTGCCTTGGTTGCGCAGTGCTACAAGGCTGAAGGTTTCGGAGCAGAAGTCCCCTAGAATAGAACGATCAGCAGGGAAATAGCAAGGTGCTGATCAGAGCAAAGCAAAACCTGCACAGGGAGACGGAGGTATGCTCTAAAGCTTCCGCAGAGCGTTGCACCAGGAGACCTTCGCAGGTACCAGTAACATTTCTGAAATGTTAACCCTCATCACAGTTTGATTTGTTTTCTATGAAGCTTTGTGCTGAGAAAGGTCTGTGCTTTCTCGTTCCCTTCTCCCCCCACCTCCTCCAGCTGTCCATCTCAGCTTTCTCAGACAACCGTCCACCAGGGTGGAGGTTCACCCCCGGCCTCCAGTAAATGGGGAAAACAAATAAGTCCTTGAAAATAAGACCTGGTGCCTTTTTTTGGGTGCCCCCTCCCCCCCCCCAAACCCAGGCTTATTTTCAGGGAAACACAGTAACATGTAGTATTTCTGGAAATTACAAATTCTACTTCTTGCTTAACAATCCATCTACAGATACAATAAATAATGTTAATATTGCTCATTTATTAACTATCTCAGTTGTTGAAAACATTGAACATGATTGAAAGGTCAAATAACAATTAGCACTTTACAGTTGTTTTGCTTTATTGTCTTTATAAAATATCATTTTACCTTGAATACACAATTTAAAGTGTTATAAAACAATTGGAAAAAGGCTGGAATTTTAGAGACATGATGTCCATATTCATTCATGGATTTTTATAAAGTTAACCTATGGGAAAAAATATTAATATTTGTAATCTTGTGTATCCTCACTCCCCCTTTGAATTAAGTAGGAAGCTTTATCTGGATGGCCATGACAATCTCAGTGCCATAAATGCTCTTCCATTGATCTCAGTTTGATTTAAAACCTCCAATACCTTCTCTTGGCAGCTGTCCTGAGAGTAGCTGGTTCCCTGCAAAAGAGCACAGAAGTCATGAAAGCTATGCAAAACTTAGTAAAAATCCCTGAAATTCAGGCTACAATGAGAGAGCTTTCCAAAGAAATGATGAAGGTGAGATTAAAAGTTTGCTTAAGTAAAATGGGTATATTATTTACATGTTTAAAATGTAACAAACTATATGAGAGATGCAAATAGATTTCGAATATGGATGCTCTATTTGTGTCTCCTGGTTTCATGGTCTCACCTGCCCTTTTCCTTTGTAGTTTTAAGATCACCTCAGAGCAAATGCTTGCTATATATTCCAGTCCATTGAATCGGTGAAGTTAGTTTGGTATAGTTAGATCTTTTAAAGGTATGATTGGGAGGATTGGTTTATTATTATTATGTACATATAAATAACATTATGATCTAATTTCTGCACATCCTTTAGGCAGGTATCATGGAGGAAATGCTAGAGGACACTTTTGAAAGTATGGAAGACCAAGAAGAAATGGAAGAGGAAGCAGAGCTAGAGATTGACAAAATATTGTTTGAAATTACTGCTGGTGAGTGAGGGCATAAACGTCCATACAGCTTTACTATGAATCACATTTTATTAATGGATACATAGCTCTTTTTTTCTATATATTTATTTCATATATATTCAGTTATCAATTATCATATTGTGTTTTCTCTAACAGAGATGGTGAGATTGTCAAAATTTCATAAGAGTGAGATTTTGGCCCTTAAAAATTAGAAACAGACTGCATACCTTTAAGTTTAAAGTACATATCCAATTTCAGCTTCATTTTGACCTTATCCCCTACAGAAATTTCACATCTTTTTTGATAGGCTGTAGTATATTTAGTACTAAAAAAAACAAGGGGTAGGAAAATATATTCCAAACAAGATGTTTTTATTAAAGCCATAATAATAATAATAATAGGCAAAAACAGCTGCTTAAATTAATTGAGTCATTTCAATAAGAATCACACTTTGCCCAGTGTTTCTCAAGTCCTCTTTTAAGGACTTCAACTCCTGTGTTGGCTGGAATTTTTTTGGGACTGAAGTCTGCATATCTTAAGGTAGTCAAGGTTGAGAAACACTGATCTAGAGGCTTTTTAAAACTCTGTTATGAAGAGTATTTTATAACAACAATCATAAAAGTTACATATAATCTATACAAGGAAAATAAATAGAAAATAATTTTCATTTCATCTTGATAGCTGAGCTGCCTGAATATATGCTTTTAATGATGCTAAATGTTTTTAAGCAGTTATTTTTCTATATTTTTCTTGCCAATGAAGCATTTTCCTTGTGAAATTTCTTTGTTTATTATTCGCTTCCAGTCATAGCTCTGTCCTGGTTGTGGATCCTTGTTTCTCTTTCTTGTAGATGTTTCATTACTCAACGTCGTCTTCAGTGCTAGAAAGGAATGGGATATGCTCTGTTTATATGCGATTGTTTTGTTTGTGTTGGTTGGAGTGTTGTTTTCTTCTTGGTAGTTCTTTGATTACACTATTGTTTATTGTATGACTGTTAATCTATTATTAATCCTGATGTTAATACCTGCTCATCAGGATGAATGCAATCATCTACCATAACAACAATCAAGCAATTTGGCAAGGAAATAGCTTAGAGAGGAGCAACGACTTCACAGTTTACCAAGCTACATACATATATTCTCTTTTATTTAGCCTGGTTTTCAGATGTTCTTTTCTGTCTTCATAATGTTCTTCGTCTTAATATTTGATTCTCACATAAGTCCTTTCGTTTGCTTGTAGGGGGCCTATTTAGGAAACCTGTGGACATGCTTTTTTCTACTAAACTATTTCAAGCTTGTTTGCTCAAATGCTCATGCCATCGTTACATCATTTGGTTTTTTGGACAACTGGATTCATCCCAAAATATTTTAAATTTTAATTTTGAAGACTCATAGGCAGTGATTTTAGAATGAATTCATTATCATCACCATTGGTTCCTTTCAAACGAAGCACATTGGGCAGCAAGCTTCTTCCAGTGAATGCTATCCACAATATAATGAATTAATGAATTTGAAATGTATTCCCAACTTCCAAAGCTTGTCAGTAATGGTTGTTTTGCCTGGACGTCTAAGGCTTCTACTTCCTTTGGGGAAGGATTTCTAATATGGGACATAATCTTTAGACCAAACTGGTTTTAAGATGATTCTTATATATTGCAGTGTTTCTTTTTGTTGCTCAGCTGCATGCTTTGATTTCTTTCTGCAGGAGCCTTGGGAAAAGCACCTAGTAAGGTTACAGATGCCCTTCCAGAGCAAGAGCCTGAAGGGGCCACAGCAGCTGTTGTAGATGATGAAGAGGAAGATATTGAAGCTATGCAGTCAAGATTAGCTACGCTTCGTAGCTAAGAGGAAAGCAGTTGCACAGCTGGATTCATCTCGCCATAGGCAATTCTGTCATGCCTTTATAATGTAAATCTTCCTGCAGAAGTTTTTTCTGTATATATTCTATTTTTTGTGCGCTTATGTTCAGAAATATTTTTTTTAATCCTTTTTGCCACATCAATGTATGTCAGGTCAAAACATCTCTGGCATAATAAAGAAAATCTAGTATATTGTCAAACAAAATAAAATATGATTTATCTATGATTTCCTCAAATGCATTTTTGGATTGCACATATAACAGTAGAATTATACAGATTTTTAAAGCACTAACTGGTTTTTAATAAACAGCTTTTAATGCTTTATTACAATCTCAACTGAGTAATAAAAATGGTAATAGTTCATTACAAGTAAACAGTGCAAAGGAAAAATCACCTTTCTAAAAAGAGTTAAAAAGAAGAAACTGCCTAGGCTTACAGTCTCCAACATGGTACTTAGGGGCACCAGTATGCCCACAGAAACTTTGCTTTGCATCTGCCAAAGTTCTTGGCCCAATTACCATTTTATATTTTTATATCAAGGCCATTAGAGTAGAATCAATGTCTTTGTTCTAATTTTTAAATGTAAGCTTGCACAGTGCAAGATTCAGATTTTAAGCGTTACCTGTATTTCCTAACATACCTGTGGATCCTTAAGCTTTCCTAGAAATAAAAATGATGTTCTTCTTGTTATTGACTATATTTACTACTACGAAACAAAAATGGGAGTGTCTTGCATTACAGGAGTCCCCAAATTCTCCAACACATCAATACCTTCTAAAAGTTTCAGATTATTCATCAACTTTCCAACATTTATTATACAAAAACTACCAGAGGCACCATTTAACTAATAGGCAGCCATGTTGCAAGGGAGTAACACCATGTTGTCGGTTTCCACCATTAACCAAAACTTTGAGCAGGTCAACGGGAAGGGAAGTTGTTAACTGAGTTAACACATTGCCTTTGCCATGTTCTGATTAGATTTAATTATGCATATATGAATTTACTCAGTAGGGAAGGGCCCAAAATTGCAAATCACTTTTTAAAAAGGCCTTTGATATATAGGAGAGTAGTCCGGGCTAATAATATTGCTGGTGGGCAAGGGGTACATTTTTGGCAGTATAGTATTGAATGATTAAATAAAGGTATTGTCAGAAGAACAATTTGGGGTTCCAACGAGTCAGAATTCTGTAAGAATAAATAAAAATGAGATCTAGACAGCTGTGATGAAAGAAAACTATTCATAAAAGGAAGGAGTTTGCTTTTAGAGGCAGTGCAGAAAAAGGGGTATAGTGACATTTTTAACGGGAGCTTGTTCTGGGTGTGGAAGTGTCTACGTTTTAGGCTCTCTGTGTATGTGTGTGTGATGCTTATTCTTCTAAACATGTAGTTCCGCTGAGAGTCTAATTAATTCTTATTTGTATTTACAGACCTTATCCTTTGATATGTGGATTAGAATAACTTATTTGGTGCTTCTTTGAGGGAGTTTGAGTAAAAGATTTCCCATTTGTTATTTTTGCTTGATTAACTTAGCTTCACTTTGACTTATAATTATCTAGAGCAGGGGTTGCCAACCTTTTGGACTTCAGGGACCACCAAACTCATAATTTTAAATCCCGTGCACCAGAGACCCTGGGAAAATCCCCCAAAAAGTCTGCAGGAAAATCCCCTATCCCATTTTCCTACCGATTGATCATTCTTTATTTGGGATCGCAGGATACCATCTCCAGTTCCATTCTCAGGGAGTGAGAGGGAGAGAGAGAGACTTTTGGCTTCATGCAAGGAAAGCAGCAGAAGCCGCAGAAGCCTTTCTTTCTCTCCCTCAAACTCCACCAGAAACGAGTCTTTGTAAGACTTGTGCCAGCGCAGCCTCTTGGAGCAGGATGCCTTGCAGGGTCTCAGAGACTCATTCCTGGCGGAGTTTGGGGGAGAGAAAGACTTTTGCTCCTTTCCTTGCGTGCAGCCAAAAGCAGAAGAAATAGCCCGGCAGCCAGGCCAGGCACGTGGGGCGAGTGGGGCAAGTCCCCCCCTCCACCCTTTACCCCCTCCCCTCACTACCTCATGTTCACAATGCAAGCGACGCAAGCTTTGTGTTCCCACGGGCCATGTGGGCGGTGCAGCCTTGTGTTCCCATGCAGCCTGGATTAATTGCTCTGGGGGATGCTTGGGGGGAGTGACATTTCTCTGCAGACCACCATCATTTTTTCATGGACCACCAGTGGTCCCCAGCTCACCGATTGACGACCATTGATCTAGAGGAGACACTGATTCTCAGAGGACTGTGGATTCTGTTAATTTTTTAAGGGAAATTGTACTTTGTACTTTTCAAAGAATAATAAATATTCTGATGTTCCAAAGAATAATACATATTTTGATGTAAAACTCAGTGTGCAGTGGAAAATAAGTGCATTAAGCATAACATGAATTCATTGCCATCAGCCATTCAGTTGTGTCCAACCTTCAATCATTCTATGGAGCAGGACTCTGTCTCACACCGTCTCTTTCAGATCTGCCCTCATCATCCTGGTGTCATCTTTCATAGTGTCCAGCCAGCGGGTACTAGACGCTTCCTTCTCTGTTTTTCTCTGATCTCTCCCAGCATGATTGGCAGCTTGCATGTGTGGGAAGCCCCCCCACCCCCCAAGAATGAAATATTTTGGGAAATATTAAAAAACTAGAATATTATATTTCCCTAAATGAGAAATGGAGAAACATTTTTTTAGAAGCAGAAAGTAGATTCATTCTTTTTTAATAGCCTCAGCAAGTAGATAGAAGATAGAATTCTTTATTGGCCAAGTGTGATTGGACACAGAAGGAATTTGTCTTGGTGCATATGTTCTCAGTGTACATTAAGGATACATTCGTCAAGAGTCAAGAATCAGAAGCTACAACACTTAGTAATAGTCATAGGGTACAATAAGCAATCAAATCATCCTAGGAAACAGTCAATAAAAATTGTTAGGATACAAGCAACAAAGTTACAGTCCTACAGCCATAAGTGGGAGGGGACGGGTGAAAGGAAGAATGGGAGGATTATTAGTAATTTTATGCCCATTAAGAAAGACTGGGACAGCTTATCTACATAACAAAAGACCTTCAGGTCCAGGATGATGGGATTAAGAACATGACCCTTCAGGACATAACAGGATTAACCCACTACCATTTAGCAGAAGACACAGAGCTCAGTACATTGCACAATCTCCAAAGGGCATTTCAAACATTGTACGACCTCCCTAGCAGCATCTCTGAAACGTATAAAAATCCATGTACTCATCAAACCAATTGGTCCGCTGCACCAGAACCATACATGCTGATAGTTCTGTTTATCATTAAACCATTTTTCCAATCAGCTTCCATGTTTCCAGGGTCTTTCTTCCAGCTTCAAACTGAACCAGATGGATGTTCCTTCCAATACATGACATGGCCAAACTATATAACAGCATTTCACGATCTTGGCATCTACTGATATTTTTGGTAAGATTTGGTCTAGGACTTCTTTATGATTTTGTAGTTCATGGGACACGTAATAGTCATAATATGTATCATAAGTTAAAGGCATCTAACTTTCTCCTATCTCTGTTTTTCAGAGTCAAATTTTCTCACCCATAAGTAATGATTGGAAAATTTTATTGCATATATTATTGCAGTTAACAGTTAAAATTATTTCATATAATTTGTTAAGGTCTTGGGATTTAAGAGTTGACCAGCAGTGAAGCTGATGCAATATGAGGCTGATGCAATGAAGATGAATCAGTATTGGTACTACCTGTTTAAGACTGAGGATGGGTTCTACCCCTTTAAGAGAAGTTTACATAAGGCAGCCATTAGAGGGAGTGTTTCTCTCTCCTTGTGACAGGTATACTTTGCAGAGTTCTCAGTGTAGAGCTAATAAGTTTGCTTGTAAGTTATTTTGCCTACTATGTTTATTTCTGTATATGTCTTGTATATAAACCACTGTTAAATGTCTAAGTCTCTGTGTGCTGTGTTTTGCTCCTGGGTTGTCTCATAATAATAGTCATGCTGCAAAAACTCTGACATATTGCATAACACGGGTTAAACACTATCATATTACCACAAAAAAGAATAATTGTACTTTCAAAAAGCTGGTAATGCAATCTTTGCTTCAGACCATGAAAAAAAATGGGGCTATGTTAAGCCATGGCTAAAAAAGCACTATGTTGTATGAATTATCTCAGATTGCAGTCCACAAGAACACCACTGCTGAAGAAACTAACTTCTTACCAACTGCATGGCTTTTTTCCTCCTGAAATGCTGGTAGGGTAGTGGGATTCAAAAAAAATTACTACTAGTTCTGTGGGTATGGGTTGTGAGTATGACAGGGGAAGGATACTGTAAAATCTCCAATCAGAAGCTGGTTCTCCGAACTACTCAAAATTTCTGCTATGGGTTCTCCAGAACTTGTCAGAACATGCTGAATACCACCTCAGGGTTGTACCATGAACCTGCTGTCTCTTTTATAGACAGATATGCATGCTGGAGCTTCAGAAGTAATGGTTGTGGGCACTAAAATAGTTTTTAGGACAGTGCTGAACTAAAGCAGACAGAAACAAGCACATTTTACTGCAGCAACTATGAATGACTATGGACATAACTTCGATAAGAACAATGCACAAAGACTATGAGATATACTCTTGACATAAAAAGATAAATGCAACAGGAAAGGGAAATCTTAGGAGAGAAGAAAAGCCACCATCTGAAGCTATGGATGGATAGCCAGCTTTGACAGTGATATATATAAATGAAATTTTAATACTTTATAATGGCTTGGTAAACTATGATCTAGCATAAAAATACTAACCAACGGGTGCTTTTAGAGATTGCAGAATTGGAGTTATCTCTGAGAAGCAGGTAATAGTAACTTCCATGTGTAGCTAAAAAATGTGTAAGTGGTAAAGTTCATTCAACAACCAAGTTTAAAACAACTTATGCCTTTGTATAATGTTTGTATTGTCTCAAGCGGCCATATCAATAGCTTCGGAATGGCCACGTGCTGCAGTCATGAAAGCAAAGGGGCTGCTTGTCTTCGTTGCCCTTCTCCAATTCTCCAATTCGGGAAAAGGGTGGTAATCTAAGGACCGACCACTTGAACGACGCGCCTTTTCTCAAAGGACGAGGCACTGCAGGAGGACAGGCAGAGATCCCGAGAACAGGTGTTAAAGCTATCCCAGTCTTGTGGGCGAGGTTGGGATCCTATATTATCAACAAGTGCCTGCTACTGTTTCCTACTCCCGAGTGAGGCTGCGCGCTGGATGCCGAATGGCTGAGACGCCTACTCTGTTCATTCTAGCGACTGCGGACGGATCGACTCGAGCCCAGGCAAAATCATATCACCGTCTTGCTGTCACCGGAGTCGTACAGCGCCATGGTTTCCTGGATCATCTCTAGGCTAGTGGTGTAAGTACCGACTTTGGGTGGGCCTCGCCCTGCGGGTTTCCCCCAAGAGTGGTCTTTGCAGGTTTGGTGGTGCCTTTGGGGTCCGCCCATTTGTGTGCGTTTGTAGCTTTTATCAAATGCGACGACTAATAATATCTGCTTCGGCACACCAGCCATCTAAATTTAGCAGTTCGTGCGCTGTCGCCCGTCTCTGGTTTTCTTGACCAGCGCACAACAAGCAGATTTTTTTTTTATTGGAGCGAAATGTGTACTCATAATGGTTTGAAATAGCGATTGGCTGTTCTTAAATTTAGCCATATGCGCAGAAAGAGGTAGAGGGATCCGTTTGAAGCTGCAACCGAAAAATGCGGCTTTTTGGTATTCCGTTTGGCAAGCGCAACCCGGGTCTAGGGAGAGGGAAAAAGCGAGTCTTGAAAAAGGGCAGGGAAAATCGCCGCTTTGTTATTAGCATTAACTATTTCTGTCTCACCTGCCAGGGGGCGCTATCTGGTGCTGTCCTTGAGCGATGGGAGTGGGCGAGAAAAATTAAGTCCTTTTTTGCATGAGATTTTCTCTTTACAAAAAAGAGCCAATCTCGGGGACGCCTAAGTCTAGGAGGAGAAATTGAAGGGCGTTGACTTTTGGTTTGGGGAGGGGAGCTGCTCTTTCACGGAAGGTGGAAGACATTGGGGGTATGGGAATTTTAGGCATTCTCTCTGGGAAACAAACAACAGAAACCATTTCCATAGAACCGTCTAAAACTAAGGCTTTCTTAGGAGAGACAGGCAGCAGGAAAAAAAATGACCTACCACAAAGGAAAATAATTTGTGCTCTTAAAACGTAAAAAAAGAAAACCACACAAGAGAGCCAATTTTTTCTTGTAGATATTACCTTTTGAATGGAAGGCTTCCTAGGGCTTACTTAAATTCTGAGAACACTGTGATGTTGGAGGTCCAATGCCTTTGTTGGTTTGCTTATTTGTTTGGACTAGATTGAGCACTTCTCTCAACATGATATCCTTCCAATGTGACAGGGCCAAAAATGCTAGCTAGGGTGATGGGAGTTGGAGTACAATTCCACCCAAAGGGTCTGGGGAAG